GAGGGCGACGGGGGAGGGCGCCGGCCACATAGAATGCTCGAGAGGTGCGGCTGTGCCGTCCTCGGACGGGCAAAATACCCGCCTCCGCAAGTGCAGGTAGGGTCTCTTGAAACCGAAATCGGTTTTTTAGTCGCACAATGACATAAACAAAACGCGAACGTCAACCTTGGCGGAGATAAGACGTCCTCAATCCTAATCTTTTACGACCGACAAATATACCCAAGGACTAGGTAGTAGTGTGCTAGCTGCAAAATCTCATTAAATGTTTTATGTTTCGAAAAAGTAAGTAGCTTTTTCTCTAATCCAAAGATCGTTCAATTGCGTCAAAGTGCCAGCTTTTTAACGAGCTTCCTTCCGGTCAGCTGCTAAAAGCACACTTTGTAAAAGATGAATATTAATGTAGTACGATTTTTTTCGCATTGATTTTTGAGATCTTTATATATTCAAATATATCTGATAGAAAACATGCACAAAAGTATGCCTTATTGTACTCATTTGGCAGTAAGGTGCATCGTCTTCATATTTTTTATTCGGAGGAAAAAAAATACTTTTACATTTTCCAAAAAACTTTTGCAAATTCCAAATAATTTTTAAATAAATACATGTAGGGGTTTCCAAACTACATGCTGTAAACGCGCCGTCTAAAGAAAATGACAAATTTCTCCATACTATGCAGAAGACGTCGCCTAATGGTCAGACATATCATGCTGTAAGTATGGGCCGGTTTGCAAGCCGATGATTTACTTATTGATATTTCAAGGCCCGAAATAATCTCATAGCTAGAAACTTTTTTCAAGACCACCAAGTGCACGTACGTCGAGTGTAAGCGTTCTAGAAGACATAATTTGCTATCAAATGCGTATAATAATATTTTGTGCGTGTTTCCAGAAGATATATTTGCATTTATAGGGACATCGCAAATAAATGAGAAAAAAGTCGTAGTACTTAAATAGTCACTTTTTAACAACCGGCCATAAAAGCTCGTTCTAAAGCTGGTGTCCTGAAGTGACTGAAACATCTGCAGGATTATTCTGTGTGATAATATTACAATCCCTCTTAAGTTACCCTTTTGAAGACGGAAAGCTTCTTCAGAATAAGATTTAACGAGGTGATAAATAGACTGTACGTTATGGAAGAAAGAATGGCGCCAGTTAAAGAAGAACAATTAAAAACAGAGCGTGGTAATCGGATAGGCAGGGGGTTAAAAAATAAGAAGACATCGCACTTACCACTAGAGAAGAGCTTCCACTCAGTTCATCCAGACGCTCAGAGAGCGCCTCGAGCTGGATGCTCAGCTCGTTGGCATTTCGCTCGGCCTATGGTCAAAAAAAATAAAAACACGTGGGCACTTAAACAAGGGCGTAAAATATAACAAACAAAAAAATTTTTATAGACAAAACCTACGCTTGAAAGCACTACAGTCCTATAAAATTTACCCTATAAGGACCCCAAACGATAGGAGATGAAGGTTAAACTATAAAGCTTTACATGAAGATTTCGTATGCTCACAAAGATGTGGCGAAGTGTTTACATCAAACGTCGTAATAACGAGGTGTAGCGCTTGCTCTTTGTTGATACCAGCTTTTACAGCAGTTCACTTTTGAGATTATGCGATCAATTTTGTGTATAAAACGATCGCAAGAGAATTCTTACGACTCGGACACCCAATTTGACTTTTTACAGAATTTCATACAAGTGCTTAATTGTTAAGGATTTGCCTCGACGTAATCAAACCTTGTAAGGGGGGATTAGGCATAAATCGTAGGGCCGCGTAATGATAGCCTAAGTTGTTCTAATAGCATTCGTGGTGTATAGGCCTTCTATGCTAA